GTGACAGTTATATTCTAGTGCAGCATTTGGACAATACAGTGTTGACAGGGAGCGAGCTGGGCGTTAGGCCTCGTTCACACCAGTGTGCAGAGATGTCAGTTTTTCTGCACACGTTTTGCGAGGGTACAACAACATCAATTGTTCTCTATGTGCCCTGTTCACACCACAACAGTAGTATCCCGTGCAGATCTTTTTTTTTGCCCAGGAATCTGCAACATGTATTAAAAAAAAACTCATTGAAGTGTGCGTGAAAACTGATGTAAACTCATGTCTCTGCAAGAGAAATCTGCACGTCCGTTTCTATCAGTTTTTTTGCACGTATGGTGCGAATGGGGCCTTAGAGAAACCAGATAGTTTGATGGCCTAAGACTTATGTAAGACGTAAGCAGAGGTTCAAGTTAGCTTTTGATTGTCACCACAGAACATGAAAAGTCAGTCTGTATTCTAAGAGGTAACTGCATCCACTATATTGGATAGTGTATACTTCATCATCACATAATATGAACAGTCTATTGAGATCAGCAGCATGTTCATCTATATGTATATAACATAACTCAGATGCATCAGTTTTCATAGACCCAGGTTTATAGGCTCACACGTTCAGGTGATTGGGCTCTAGCAAATTTCTTGAGACATCCTCTCTGGGCACCTCCCCTATAACCCCACCACAGTCCATGAGTCCTCAGTTTTTTGCTAGTGTTCTAAGGTGATGGACCTCTTCTCCGAATGGTAAATCACTTTGAAATATAAAATAACGTAATTAGGTTAAAATTTGTCGATCAACTCTTTACTGTCTTCTAATCCAACAGACGCAGTGCATTTGGATCTGTGCAACCTCAGTAAAATGTTGGAAGTCATACCCAGAACCCACACCGTGGGGATGGTCTGTAATGTTGCTTTGGACACTGAATCCTGCATGGGTGTTCACTCTCAGCACTTTGTGTAACGTGTGTAGTTAGCCAGAGGGTGCTATACATGTCCAGGGCCATGGTCTAGCCCTAAAGAACCCAGACCCTGAAGACTTCTTTGGGGGTATGCCCACCATGACAGGGACCAGCATTGTGGACAGGTAAGACAGGGTTACGCTGCGTAAACTCAAGCAAACATTTGTTCTGTCAAACACTGTCACAGCACTCAACCTCAGAGTGATGATGCTTCCCTTGCATTAAAGCAGGACCTGATTTTAACACTAGCCTCTGATTATGACTAGTTCTCTTTCAGGCATGCAACAAGCAGCCTACCTGACTAAGGCAGATTTTTGTGCAACTATGTCACAATTCCTCAGACAACCAATGGGTTTAATACAGCTATCTTTGTCCCCAGCTCCATTGTCTGTACTGGAGTTGAATACTGATATTCTCAGCCTAGAAGAGGTGACCATAGAAGGAAATGAAGAGGACCCAGAGGTGATATTAGAGTAGGCTGTGAAAGATTTCTCGCCCTCAATATACATGAAGTAGCAGTTTCACGCCATATGCTTGCCAAGGTGGACATGCTCACTTTTGTTGTGTGCAAAAGCATAGATATTGTCGCACTTGAATCTCCTCAAATCTCATCATATCCCTTTGGGAAGAAGGAGACCTGCTAAATCTTAAAATACATTCCCTGTTCATGAACAAATAGACTGGGCAACTTATGACAGTCCATAAAAGATTTTCACTGCTCCTGAAAATCACTATTGAGGTCTATCCAGTGGCAAAGGAGTACTTTAGATCCTGTGGTCTCAGTCTTAAACAAATTGGAGGCGATCCTTCATTCAGTAACTCTGCAGATAGGAAATTTGAGACACTCTTAAATGCTCTTTTTATACAATCAGGTCCAGCTATGCAGCCAACTATTGTTGCAATTTCTGTCTGACACAAATTCCCAGAATAACTCAAAACTCTGTTCACATACACAGAATGTTGTGGCTCAAAGCCTTGCCAGCTGAAGCCTCACCCACATGCCTTTTGAAGGAGGATGTCTCTTTGTTGAGGCACTTGACAAATTCCTCAAAAATGTCACAGGAGGGAAAGTTCTCCTACAGCAGGAAATTCAAAAACTCCCCTCCTCAGGAGCCTTTACCTCTTCAAAACTTACAGTAGAGCACCTGATTGTTCTACCCAGACTTCAGCTTCAAAATCTAAGTACAGCCCTTCCTTTTGGTGTAAGACATGGCCCACAAAACCCACTAAGTCATCCCCAAAACCCTCTTCTAATATGACGGGGCACCCTCATGTCTAAGAGGTGTGAGAGGGTATGTTAGTTTACTTTTCTCAGGGTAACAACCTTCCTAGACTTGTGGGTTTTATCTGTGGTTTCACAGTGATACAAAGTAAATATCAAAACTCTGCCTGCTCACTGCTTTCATTCTCCAATCAGTCAGATTTGCAGATTGCTTTGAACCATCTCTTGTCTCAGGGAGCAGTTATGTCAGTACTCCCCCAAGACAGGTTAAAAGGATTGTATTCAAACCTGTTCATAGTACCAATACACAACAGGGTATTTTGTCCTATTTCAGACTTAAAGTCTTTAGCAAATACCTTCAAATGCCAACATTTTGCATGGATTACATTAGATTAGTTATTGCCTCTCTGAGAAGAGGGGAAAGTGGCAGACAAGACGTCAGACCCTGGCCACCTTCGCCAACTTGTGACAAATGGCTGGTCAAACTCACTGTCACTGATACGCGACAGTGACACTCTGAGCCTTACTGTGCCACAAAGATTTTCCAGCTCGCTGGGCAACAATCTAAGTGCCAGCTGACTGAGCATGACTGTTGCTGGGTATTGTTAACCCCCTAAACCCCAAGTCAGTCACTGCCACCAGATTTTTTTTTGAAGACTGAGTGTTTATCAATTTTTATACGAGAAGATACATAATTGTGCAGCTTGAGTAAATGGCAGTAAAAAAATATGGCACCAATAGATGGCATAACAGCAAAATCACTCAAGCATAAGACGTATCAAAATGTCAAAGTGCAACCGATAGCCAAAGGGATCTGCTAGTCTAGTCTCTGGTAGCAATATATCACCAGTTTCCACACGGGTACAGCAATTGGCTAGCAACAGATACTCCACTCCACAAAATCAGGCCCTGTATCAGTAGTAAAAATAAAGGGAAGCAGAGAAGGACAAGTAAAAAAGAGAAGGAAGAGAACGCTCAACCCTTAAGCCCCTGATGCACCCTGAGGCTGAACCCCACCTCGTGCACCCCATCAAGTTCTGCTCTAGATATGAGGGGATAAATCAAGTGAGTGGAGTCTCCAAGAGATCCCATAGTTCCCAGACTCTGTTGTATTTGTCCAGGGAATTGTTCAGGGAAGCTGTAAGGTATTCCATCCTCTCTACATCTCTGGATCCTCCCATGTAGCTTGATCAGGGAGGCTCCCCTCTTTTTCCCACTTACAAGCCACTAAACTCCTTGCTGCTGTCAGCACATGGGCTGGTAGTTTTTTTTGAAGTTTTTAGAGAACGTTCGGGTGGGGGCCAAGTCCTAAAAGGAACGTTTGAGGATTAAAGGCGATCCAGGACCCAAAGAGAGAGTGAATGAGGGTGTGGACAGTCTGCCAGTTGCCACCAGATATTTTTTATCATAAAATTGGTAACATGTATGACTTAAAATAAACATCTGTGACACACGTTGTTACCACAGACTGGTATATGCAAATATTTACCATATACAGGGATTCTTTACGTTCTGCATTAGAAACAATAATAATAATATTTTTTAAGTATTTTTTAACCACTTCAAGACCGCCCTATAGCAGATATACTGCTACAGGGCAGCCAACCTGTGCAAAATCACAATTCTGCACCTCCGCCTAGGGGGTGCACATGCGTGCCGCCGGCAGGCCGCTTTGGCTGTGATTGTTCACATAAACTGATCTGCGGGTGCTGGGCAGTGGATATCCGCCGGCGCCTGCAGATCATAGGGCAAAGACGCAAAACAGAGCTCTGCCTATGTAAACAAAGCAGAGCTCTGTTCTGACGGGGCAAATGATGGATCTTGCGTTCCTGCAAAGCAGGGAATAAGATCCATCCCTTCCCTTAGTAAAAGCAGCACACTGTACAGAGAAAACACATTGCTAGGCACACAGTTAACCCTTTGATTGCCCTAGATGTTTAACATTTTCCCAGCCAGTGTCATTCGTAAAGTTCGTGTCACTGTTTCCCACATAGTGTCAGTGTAAAAAGGTCTGCTGCAATATCTCAATCCCGCTATAAGTTGCTGATCACCACCGTTATTGGTATAAAAAAGTCCAGTAGATATCCCATAGTTTGTAGATGTTATAACTTTTGCCAAACCAATCAATGCAATATACGCTTATTGGGATTTTTTTTACCACAAATATTTGGCCAAATACATATTGGCCTAAATTTATGAAGAAATTGTATTTTTTTTTAAATTTATTTATTTTTATTTTATGTTTTATAGTAGAAAACGGAAAACATTTTTTTTTCAAAATTGTCAGTCTTTTTTTGTTTATAGCACAAAAAATAAACACAGTGATGATCAAATACCACCAAAAAAAAGCTGTATTGGTGGGGAAAAAATTACCTAAATCTCTGCGCAATTGTTGGTTAAAGCAACGTAGTGCCGTATCGCAAAAAATGACCTGGTCAGGAGGAAGGGTAACTCTTCCGGAGGTCAAGTGGTTAATAAAAACAGTTATAGAAAAATAGCGGGTTTGGCAAAGTACAATCAATGAACAAGATGGATCAGTGGCTCTCATAAGTCTTTGCTGATGTTCCTTCTTTGATGGTAAAAGGAGAGCTCCAGACTGCGGCTGCAGCCCCTCTCTTCTGGTCCTTTAAAGGCGGTTGTGGACATAAATGAATGTCTGAGGAGTGGCCGATGGGATTTCACTGTGTTTGACCATGTAGTGGCAACTTCCTAAAATGCAGTTTTATAAAGATATTAAAGCAGAGTTCCACTCACCTGTCAAAACATTAAAGTCAGCAGCTACAAAAACTGTAGCTGCTGACTTTTAAAAACAGCCACTTACCTGTCCCTCGATCCCGTGGTGTGTCCCCCGCAGCCCGTTTCACCAGCCGTCCTGGATTCCAGGAGGCCTGCATCTTCAGTGTGGGCACCCGGCTGTGATAGCTTGCGGCTTCACAGCCGGGTACCCACTGTGCATGCACGAGTAGCGCTGCACCTCCTGAATGGTCCTGTAGTCTTCTGGGACCTGTCACATGTCCCAAAAGACTACAGGAAGGGAGGAAGGACACCTTCCGTTTCCGATCGCCTAGGCGATCGGACCGGAAATGGGAGCAGGTACCTGTCAAATCGGGTACCCCTCCCCCTGCCCCCCAAAGGTGCCAATCCTTAATGGGGAGCAGGGGAGCAGTCCTTAATGCGGAACTTCCCCTTTTAGGTGGAGCTCCACTTTAACATCTTCAAACACTTACAGGTGGAATTCTGGTAACTTATAATATTGTGCAGCATGGAATTTCCATTTTAGAGATGCTAAATATGATAACCCTCAGAGAAGCCATAACCCAAGAGGTGGAAGATGGCTATGTCTCCTTCTGTATAAAACAGCCTAGTCATGTGTGATTTGGACTTGCCAGAAGAGTACAGGTACCATTGTGCCATGGTAGTTGCTCTCAGGTTAGTGAAGAAGAAAACGTCTACGTACTCTTACAGTCCTGTTTCAATAGAAACCATTCTCAAGGTTCTAACTAGGTGGTATTTAGTTTCCTCTTGCCTTCCCGTAATGTCTCCGAACATATATCCTGATTTGTTTTAGAGGATGCTTAATGAGGGTTACTATGCATCATATATGGTGGGATTGTGTGAAGATTAGGTTTTTTTTTTTAAAAGGGTTTATATGCCGACTAACGGGCATCTGTAACCTACAGCGGCCTCAAAGAGTATTCTTAAATTAACTCCTACCTAGCCTACCTTGGATTTCCCGCAGTTCTCAACAGCTGCTCTTTTTCGTCCTATTGGCTGCAAAAATATCAATTACGGGAGCATGTAAAAAACCCTCAGTTATTATGTAACAAGTGAAATACAAGATTTCCAGGATTATGGTCCATGAGCAAATTGCAGGTACCATTAATGATAAGTTAAGGCAATTTCAGCAAATGTGGGAACCGTGGGCTAAATATGAGAACATTCTGATAACCTCCTGTCAGGCGACACTTTAGGTAATTTGAGGGTCCTAGGTCTACCCTTTTTCTCCTGTTATCCTGCTATCCTCTCCTTTCTCTTGCTCTAAACTTTTGTTTACCTTTATTGTGGCTATCTGGTCTACACCAGAGCCTTTATGTGAGACTGACTTATACTATATGTATTTAGGTGCATTGTAAAGTCAGACTTTATCGATCTTTTGAGTACATTTAGATAGATATGCAAGGTTGTTATCTTTGAGACTGAGATCTTGATGAAAACTGTGCAGTATATGATATGATGTGCATTATATTACCATAATCAGTCCTTCTGATGGATGTAACATCATGGCCAAAAATATTGGCACCCCTGCGTTTCTGTCACATAATGCACCCCTTCGCCCAGAAAATTGTTGCAATTACAAATGTTTAGGCATTGTCATATGTATTTCTTTTGTTTGTATTGGTATGACAAAAAGTAGAGAAACAAAAATCTGATACATTCCACACAAAACTCCAAAAATGGATTGGACAAAATAATTGTTATACGTTATTGCATTCCAAGGTTGTGATGCTCCTGTAATTTATAAATAAACTCACCTGCATCAATTAACAGGTGCTGACAATATAGAAATCACACCTGCAACCAGTTAAAATGGTGAAAAAGTTGCTCAACCTTTCTGTTGTGTGTCTCTGTGTGCCACATGGAACATGGAAAAGAGAAAGAGCAGCAAAAAATTGTCTGATTGGAGAACAAAATTTGTGGAAAAGCATGGACAATCTCAAAGTTACAAGTCCATCTCCAGAGATCTTAATGTTCTTGTATCCACTGCGTGCAACATTTTCAAGAAGTTTACAGCACGTGACACTGTAGATAATCTCCATGGACCACAAAAATTAAAATTGATCAAAGATTGCAACAAAGGATTGTTCGAATGGTGGCTAAAGAACCTTAAAGACCTTCCAGACAAATTCAAGCTGACCTTCAGGCACAGGGTACAACTATGTCGGCTCACACTAAATGTCACTATCTGAATGAAAAGGGATGCTATGGTAGGAGACCCAGGAGGACCCCACTGCTGACACAGAAACCTAAAAAAGCCAGATTGGAGTTTGTCAAAACTTGCCTTTGGAAGCCAAAATCCATTTGGGAGAAGGTGCTGTGGACAGATGAAACAAAATTACATCTTTTTGGTAAAGCCCATCATTCTACTGTTTTTAGTAAAAGCAATGAGGCCTTTGAAGAAAGAATACAGTCCCCGCAGTCAAACATAGTGGAGGTTCACTGATGTTTTGGGGTTGCTTTGCTGCATCAGGCACTAGATGTCTTGACTGTGTGCATGGCATTATGAAATCTGAAGACTACTAAAGAATTATGGGGTGCAATGTAGGCCCAGTGTCAGAAAGTTGGGTCTCCGTCAGAGGTCATGGGTCTTACAGCAGGACAATGACCCAAAGCACACATAAAAAAGCACCCAGAAATGGTTTCAGAAAAAGAGCTGCAGAGTACTGAACTGGCCAGCAATGAGTCCAGATCTCAATCCCATAGAGCACCTGTGGAGAGATCTCAGAACAGCAGTTGGAAAAAGGAACCCTTCCAATCTGAGAGACCTGGAGGAGCGGTTGGCGAAAGAAGAGTAGTCTACAATTCCAGTAGAGGTGTGTCAGAAACTCCATTGATGGTTACAGGAAGTGATTGATGGCAGTTATTTTTTTTCAAGCAGTGCGCTACCAAATATTAAATTGAGGGTGCCAATAATTTTGTCCAGTCCCTTTTTGGGGTTTTTCATGGAATGTGTCAGATTTGGCTTTTTGTTTCTCCACTTTTTTTGTGTCAAACCAATACAAACAAAAGAAATAAGAAATAAACATGAGAATGCCTAAACCAAGTGGAGCATTATCTGACTGAAATTCAGGGGTGCCAATATTTTTGGCAATTGCTGTATGTATATGTTCATTTTTGCCTGATACAAATTTATTAAATGCAAAAAGGATGCAAACCCCAGCAAAAATCTTTCTAATAAGGTGGTATGTAATGGGTCTCATTCTCCAGGTTATGACATAGATGGTAATAAGTCACATTCAACTGAACAAGTTCTGTAATATTGGTTGTTTTGTCACTTATTCATGTAGCTTTCTCATCTCAGACATGCCAGGAACATACAGGGGATAATTTTTTTGGTTAAAGTGTTAAATATCTGTGGATGGAGGTCACACTTGAAGAATGGGTAATGACCGAAGCCAGAATTCCAACACAGGAGCTACCAGGCATACAACATTTAGCACCCAAAGTAACACACATCTGCCAGGGTCACCTTTTTCTTGTTTTACTCCTAATCCAGTTTATAATATTGTGAAAATGTTTAAATGAGATGATTTCTACTAACATTGAATAAAAATGTGTGGTTGTTAACTCTACAGGGAAAAGTCACCTCGTACCTCTGCCATCTATAGACAGAGGCCTACTGTGCCTAACTGTAAACCTACAATTATATTGACATATATAAATGTCCCTTCTTTCTCTATGGCCTCTGGAATCTTCTGAAGATTTATGCAAAAAACTACATCTGGTGATATCAGTGCACATAATGACAGAATGATTGTTGGATAATCTGTTAGTGGTCACATTAACCTTGTCCTGATGCCATTATGACTCTATGGCCACAGTTTACAAGGTGAATCGATGTATATTTCAGGCGGTTATTATATTTTTGACTTGTATGTAGAGAACACATTGCTACTGCCTATTAAGTCAGATCTCTGTGACTGTCCCTGTTTAGAATATATCTGCTTTACTGGCTAAGCAGCACTATGGTCATAGGTTTGAATCCCAAGCATGGCACTAACTGCTTGAAATTTGCTTGTTCTCCCTGTGCCTGCATAGGTTTTCTCTGGGTACTGCAGTTTTTCCTCTGACACTCCAAAGACATGCTGGTAGGTTGATTGGCTCCTGTCTAAATTGGCCCTAATATGTATATGTATGAATGTGAGTGAGGGACCTTAGATTGTAAGCTCCTTGAGGGTTAGGGACTGATGTAAATGTACAATATATATGTAAAGCCCTGTGTAAATTTATGGCGTTGTAGAAGTACCTGTAATAAATAATAAATAAATACCGGCAATGAGCCAACAGGTTTGCCCAGTAATTGTTCATGATCCACTTATCCAAGTAAATATGCCTAGATTGACCAACAGCAGTAAATTGGTCAAACCTTTAATGCCACCTAATGATTTGACTGCATATTAGAGTTCAGCAAATCGGTTTTTTATCTCTAAATTCACTTGTGATATATACGCAACAATAAATGGACAGCAAGCGTTCAAAGTAGCAAAAACAAACATTTGTAGCCCGCTGCTACCATTGTTCTCTTTGTCATATTGGATGACAATAATAAGGTAATTTTATGTTTATCCCACCAGAGAGGCTTAGAAAATGTCCTCCATTTATCCTTGTATGGTTTTATTCTGAGTGAAAGTGTTCTGCCTGGTCCTTCAGTGTTTCTGCTGTTCTGTACTCTGTTTTATCTTACCAGCCTCTTTGGGCCCCCTCCCTGTAATGTAAAATAAAGTCATTCATCATCAAAGGAGATAAGAGGTGATAAGACAGCAAAAGAGAAAGTATGCCAAGTTCCAATCTGTGCATAAAATAACAAAGAATTGTCCATCACTACAGCCTTTCAGCGATTTAAGGTGCACTTTTCAGGCAATTTCCTTTCAAGAAGTTGTGTTTTATGGAATGGATGAGATGGTGCATTTACTGTGTTTGTTTCTTTCTCACCAGTGTTCCCCATACACTGCCAAACAGCAACTCTTGTGGGACATCTAGAAAGAGTCTCATTCAAACAGGAATTAAGACCAGGGTGCATTTTCTGACACTGATGTAAAAATGCATGCAGACTGACACTTTTTTTTTTGTATTATGTATTGTCCGACTGGAACTTATATAAACTTATATAGGGTGTCTTTCCTTTACTGCTTTTAATTTACTATAAATCAGTTTGGATGTGCCCCATCCCCTAACTTATCTGTCAAGATTGATGGCACAACTATCAGTCTATCCTGCAAGCCAGGGAGCTAGATGTAATCCTGAACTCTGAACTTTGCTTTTGGCCTCATCCAATCACTGTCCAAATCTTGCTGCCTCAACCTCTGCAACATTTCCAAA